GAGAGAAAATGAGAGAAAAAGTCAAAGCCTGAGAAAGTTCACAAAATCGGAGAGAAACTCGAGGGGAACAAGCCTAAAGTGGTGAAAATCCGAGAAAACGATGAAATCAAAATCTAATCGGTTCAAAATGAAGAGAACTAAGAGGGTTTTATGAAAAAAAGTGTGCGTGGGGCGTTGGAAAATGCGTATAAAGCACGGATCTAAAGAGAGAAAGTGTCTAGAGAGAGGGGGGAGGATTTTCAGCCTTGGAGAAGTAAGGAAATGAAGCCTTGAGCTTTTTACTTAAAGACCCAAGGCAAAAAGTCATATTTGCCCCGAATCTGCCACAAGTGGCCAGCAGGCCACCTTGGTGGCCGGCAGACCACATTGGTGTTCAGCAAATGTTTTTGGTGGCCGGCAGGTGGCCGTTGGCTCTCAGGTGGGTCCTGATGCTGTTCTGTGCTTTTGCTTCCTGAGTAGTGTATAGAAGGTTCTGTTTTGGAAGCTTGCAGCTGCGTTCCGGTGTGTGAACGTGTCCCACTTGCTACTATGAACGAGGTGTATCCTTTTAAACATGTTACAATTCCTCCGAGAGGTAAATCGGAAGTTATCGCCGAATATCGTTTTATTCGTTTTATCAGATTATGTCTTTATTCCCTTCCGTTGCATAGAATGTGCATCTCACATATATGTATGCTGCATGCATGTCTTGCATCATTTTTGTTTCATGCATGGAACATGCTGTCGATTTTTGCATAGAATATGCTCTTATTTCATGCATAGAATATGTTTTTGTTTCTTGCATAGAACATGCCTTTAATTAACATCATATGTCAATTGACCATCTTGCATGGAATATGCGTTGTCACTGAATTGACTCGTTCACTTTGTGCATCTATTGCACACATTCACTTTGTGCATCTATCATATTTTATTCACTTTGTGCATCTATCGTACATCTCTGTGTTTTATCTCGGGACGCGTGAAGCGTGAGCCTGAGCGGTTTCTCTTTTATCTCAGGACGCGTGAAGTACAGCCCTGGGCGTGTTTTATCTTAGGACACGTAAAGCACGGCCCTGGGCATGTTGTATCTCAGGATGCGTGAAACGCGCCCCTGGACGTGTTTTATCTCGGGACGCATGAAGCGTAGCCTTGGGCGTGTTTTATCTCCAAATGCGTGAAGCGGGAGTGGTTTTTCTTATTTCTCAGGATGCGTGAAGTGCGACCTTAAGTGGGTTATTGCTCGGCAAACCAACTGTACCTCACCATGGGTGGCTGGTACAAAGGTGGGAGCTCTCCGAACAGATCGATCCAAGTAGTCTCCTACTCCTCTATGTCTGTGTTAAAAGGGATCGGATCACCCCCTACTTCTAAGCCTGTGATCATGGTGAAGTCGTAGGGAGTCATCATCATTTCCCCGACAGTAGAGAGATGGAAGGAGTTGGTGGTGTCCCGCCATCTCTCCACTAGCGCTCCTAGAAGGGGACGGCTCGCAATGACGCATGTCAGGCCAGAACAGAAAAGGTCGAATCCGGTCTTATCGATGATGTCATGAATCCCGGCAGGGAGCTTGTCATACCAATCCCTCACCGTCGTAGCTCCGTACCCCCTGTAGGCACGAGACTCCCTGTGGCAAATAATAGATGAATCAGATGAAATGTAGTAATGAAAGTATAATTAGATAAAAGGTAGTAATGAAAGTACAATTAAATGAAAGATAGTGCAAGAAATGTAGTTAAAAATAAGGCAAGAATGCATGAAAACAAAGAGTTCATACCTCAGCAGCGCTGGATGAAAGGTAGGAGACTGGCTCCTTCAGCAAAAGGTCATTTGGTACGTCGCAAGCAAAGTCACTGAAGCGCCTAACGCCTCCAGGCGGTAAGATGTGCATGCGGGGATGATATCTCGTCGGATCAAAAGGCCGAACTCTCAATGGTAATGGCTCTGGCTCAAACTCAGGCGCAAACTCCGCCTCAAGGTCAGCCTCAATGCCCTCAGTCGTCTTGCCAGCCTTAGCAACTACCGGCTTCTCTATGCAGGCTCAATTGGAATCTGATAAGCAGTCCTAGTCGGCCTCCAGTACGTGAGCGCGGTGGAAAACTCTGGCCAACGGATAGCCGGCCCAACAGGGGAGCCCCTCTAGCATGGGCCCTAGTCGTCCGAGTCGCCTCGCCTGCCGTAGGAGCCCTTGTCCCCTCGCCTACGTAAGCCTCTGTCAGAGGAGGCATAAGGTGAGTCTAAATAAAGGTCGTGTAATCGCCCTCTCTTCTGAAGAAATCAGCGTCCAGGTCTACCATGAATTCAATGACTGTATCAACAGATAGGCTGTCCGCTGTCTTCATAGACTCTGGAGGTGGCATCAAAACGACCAGATCAGGCAAGCTCGTGGTCTGGCAAACGAATCTCTCGCTCAAGAACCAAGCTCGGTAGACTGGGCTCTCTAGCAGAATCCAAAAGCATGATGTGCCCCATGCTCCCATGTACTGGTCTCGCACCCTGGCCGGCATCATGGCCTAGGGCTACCACGTGGTCTGCAAGCAGGAGATGTACAGATTATTAGTTGTCGTCAGTTGCTAAAATGTGAATCAGAATAGTTATAAAGCAAAAATGACTGTGTTTCGGGTTACCTCGTGGGCGGCCATAGTATCGAAGTAATGGCGGAAGAAGGCAAAGAAGTCGTGACTTTGACGCTGACACCGACCATTATATCGTCTCGAGTACAGAACCACGAGGGGGAGCTCCTCCATGGGCTCTAGGACGAGGGCCGGAAAATACGCATAGACCTATAGTTGTAAGGAAAGTGTAGTGATATGATTAACAAAGCATGAATAGATATAGAAAGTGCAAAGTAGAAAGCACACAGCCTAAACAGCTATAAAAGTGCAAAACAGAAAGCACAAGTAGAAAATGTAAAGTAAAAAGTGTAAAGTGCAAAGAGGGAACCGAAATGCATACCTCCCACACTCGCCAGTAGCCTTCGATCCACTCTCTCCGCCTGCAGGAGGTAGAGCTCATATAGTTGTATAAGGTGGCGAGACCAGCTTCGCCCTAATCGTAGAAGCGTACCCGGGGAAGGGTCACTAGAGCGCTCAACAGATATAAGCCCACGATGTTCCACCTGTTCGAAAACAAGGTGGTACCAAGGATGAACATCAAAAAGCCTCTAGCATACTGCTCCATCTTCTTTAATGTCTCTGGTTCACTCCCTCGGAACTGCTTAATGAACCAACTATATCTGACCATAGTTATTTGGTACAAAGGTGGACGCGCTCCCAGTAGCTTGATCCAAGTCGCCTCCCACTCCCCTATGTCGGTGTTGAAAGGGATTGGATCACCCCCTACTCCTAAGCCGGTGATCATGGAAAAGTTGTACGATGCCATTGTCATCTCCCCGATAGTGAATAAGTGGAAGGAGTTGGTGGTGTCCCACCACCTCTCCATAAACGCACCTAAAAGAGGACGACTTGCGTTAGGCCGAAGCAAAAAAGGCCAAAGCCAGGCTTGACCACAATGTCACGAACCCCGACAAAGAGCTCATCATACCAATCTCTCGCAGTCGTAGCTCTATACCCTTTGAAGGCACAAGAATCTCCCTATGACAAAGAATAGATGAATTAGATAAGGCAGTGATGAAAGTACAGTCGGATGAAAGGCAGTGCAAGAAATGCAGTTTAAAGAAAGGTAATAATGCATGAGAACCGAGTTCATATCTCAGTGGCGCTAGATCAAAGGTGGGAAGCTGACTTCTTCAGTAGAAGGTCCTCCGGTACACCGCGAGCGAAGTCGTTGAATCGCCTAATGCCTCCGGGTGGCAAGATATGCGTGCAGGGATGGTACCTCACTAGATCAAAAGGTCGTACCCTCAATGATAGCGGTTTTGGCTCAAGCTCAGGCTCAAACTCCGCCTCGAGGTCGGCCTCGATGCCCTCAGCTGCTTGCCAGCCTCGGCAACGACTAGCTCATCTGCCTCAGCAACATGTGGGAATATGAGGGGAATCCCTGGAGGAGCCCCGTCATGTGGAAAATCATCTACCATTTGGAAAATGGATGAAACGTAGGTGAAAAGTGAAGAAAAATGGAGAAAAGAGGGTAAACTTAGAAAAGTCAACCCTAGGAGAGAGAAAATTGGAGAAAAAGTCAAAGTCAAGGAAAGTTCGTGAAACCCGAGAGAAACTCGAGGGGAACAAGTCTAGAAGGGTAAAAATGAGAAAAAAAAGTGTCGAAATCAAAATCCAATTGGTGCAATGTGAAGAGAATCAAGAGGGTTTAGCGAATAAAGTTCGCGCAAGGCATTGGAAAACGCATAAAAAGCTCAGATCTAGAGGGAAAAAGTGTCTTGAGAGAGGGGAAGCAATTTTGGAAGTGTGGGTGTGTGGAAATGAGGAGTCTTGGTCTATACTTAAAGACCCATGGGTGAAAAGACCAAAAAACCCTGAATCTGCCATCGGTGGCCGGCAGGACCTTTTGATGGCCGGTAGGTGGCCGGCAGCCTCCCCCTGTGGCCGGTAAGTGGCTAATGGCCTTCCTCTGTGTCCTGATGTTGCTTTGTGTCTTTGTTTCCCAAGAAGTGTAAGGAAGGTTCATTATTGGGTTCAGATTGTTTCAAAGGAAGCTCAAAACTATGTTTTGGCGCATGATGTTCATCACTTGTCAACATGAATGAGGTGTATCCTTTTGAACATATTGCAATTCCTCCGAGAGGTAACTCGGAGGTGCCACCAAGTGTAACGGTTGCGGTCGCTTTTTAAAACCTTGCCAATAACTGAAAGAGGTATTGACTTGCAGACTGCCGCTAATAATTTTCACATTCTGCAGCAGATGTGACGTTGCATTTTACTCTGCAGTGTAGTGAGTAGCTTGACGTGACAAAAATCTGATAATATGATGCCACAAAATCTAACTATGCTGTATTCTGCTGCACCTTGACAGTGAATTTGTCTTTGATCCTGCTAGATGGCCACGGGTGCAAATGGAAGAGGACTTCCTGAAGCTGTCAAAAATGTTCAATGCGATGAAATCTATTGTTCGTGTGCCCACTCTTGAACCCAAATACAAGATTGCAGTTCTTGCTTCGAAGCAGGTGTGTTTTAATCTTTAAAGACGTTACTTTGCTCTGTATAAAGTGATAGAGAGCAATACTAGAACTTGAAACTAAAGCATGCAAAACCATAAGCTGTAATGCTTTTTACATTTTCAGTTGCTGAAGCTGTCTTAATGTTGGTGCAGGATCATTGTCTGGCCGATTTGTTGCATGGATGGCAGGATGGAAGACTTCCGGTGGATATAACTTGCATAATAAGGTAAAGATTGAAGAATGCTACCGGTTATCACTGAATTTTTGGATTCAAATGTGTTGCCTAACAACATTTAATGCATCTACTTGCCAGCAATCATGATAGAGGACCAAACACCCATGTGATTCGATTTCTTGAAAGGCATGGGATCCCCTATCATTATTTGCACACAACTAAAGGGAAGAAAGTCCTTAGCTGCAGGGGACTATAATGCAACTGCACTCTTGTCTTGAAAGTCCTTAGTTGTAGGGGACTATAATGCAACTACACTCTTGTCTTGATATGTCATCACCCCATGTATTATGTAGATGTTACTTAACATCCCAAGCAAGATTTGAAAGGCCAAGATTTGATCGATGAACTTGATTCATCCCATGTTTTGAACAAGCTATGATATATGTATTGTTTTGACAAGAACCTTGGAAATCATTCATTTAACCCCTTTATTACTTATACCATTCACTGAGTATCCAAGCTCACCCTCCCTATGTATATATGTAGGTAATAAGCAAGAGGTCGGCTTCGCCAAGATGTGTGTTTTGTATGCTTGTTTGGTCGGCTGTAAGGATGTCGGCAATCCTGAAGATCATGTTCCATGTTTTGTATTTCATGTGTTATATTTATGTCGGCTTGAGAAGCCCTTTGCCAAGATGTAACATGTACTTTTGTAATCAAGTTATAAGTTATGTAAAGATGTATGCCATTCCATTTGACTATGCACTGCTCTTATGGACCACTTGTATTTTAGATTATTGCTTCCGCATTTGTGAGCCCCCTATATAAATACTCTGATTGTGTGTGAATTTTGTAAGTTGGCCTTCGGTAATTACGGATTACTGGCCATCACGGTACCAAACTACTAGGGGCGGTTTGGGGGCGTGATAGAAACACCACCTATTACCCCACCTCCGTCTGCTTATTCTAGCAGCCTCTACCATCAAACCCTACCCGCAGCTTCTATATATAGATGCATATCTATCAAGCCCAATCACACATCCAAAGTTTGAAACCTAGCAATGATTGAAACGGTTCCCAAACCCATCCAATACTTGAAACCCAAAAAATCTGGTTTTTTGCTGAGAAGAGAGTATGGAGGGCAAAAAAATCTGGTGTTTTGTTGTACAAGGTTAAAGATGTATTATGTGTTTGGTTTTTAAATAGGAAAGGATATCCCATATATTTTACCAAATGTTTTATCATACATTTCTTATGAATGTGGGACTCACACTATGTTCATGTGAAATATTTGATAAAATATTTGATAAAATATTTAGGGTCTTTAGCATTACTCAAGGATATTTGCATTGGTGAAAAGAGATAGTACAGTTGGCATTTACAGACTTTAATTTGTTCATGTTAAAAGATTTAGTTAGTCACTACAACATATAAGAGTTTTAGATACTAAATTTTTTGATCTTTCAAAAATAAAAATTTTGTTAGAAAAAATATTTAAGAATCAATTTCTATAGTCACGAGGACAGTTACTAAAATGTCATCATAAAAAGTCAAAATACGACTTTTGGTGACAAATTTGAAAACGTCACTAATAAATACAATTTTAGGGATAAAATAATTTGATCTCAAAAAGATTTATTTTTTGAGACAAAAAATTTAATCTCAAAAAGATAATAATTCATCACTAATTTTCAATTTTCATTACTAAAAATATAATAATTACACTTTTCTCAACCAAAATATTTAGTCCCTAAAAACTAATTTTATTCCCAAATTTTGATTTGCAAAACCTTAAATAGTAAGTACCATTAATTGCTATTTGATGGGGCTTAGATCGTCTGTCCCCATTGCTTGTTCCAATTTCTTATCCCAATATTTTTATTTTCATTACTAAAAATATAATAATTATACTTTTCGCAACAAAAATATTTATTCCATAAAAATTAATTTTATCCTCAAATTTTGATTTGCAAAACCTTAAATAGTAAGTACCATTAATTGCTATTTGATGGGGCTTACATGGCCTGTCCCATTGCCTGTTCTAATTTCTTATCCCAATATTTTTATCAGGCCATGTGTCGATCCTTAAAAACCGAAATCATTCCATTTAACTTTTTGTCTCTTTGGATCTTTTTGGTGTAATTTATTATAAATCAAAAATTGATAATTAAAAAATAAAAATTAAAAGCACCCTTCATCAGTTTATAGATAATTAATTTTTTAAATTTATTTAAACTATTTTTACTTAATAAATTATAAGTGAAAACCGTATAAAATAGTATGATACAGACATTCAAATTAAAATATGATATAGCTTTTACTTAATTTATAGATAATTAATTTTTTAAATTTATTTAAACTATTTTTACTTAATAAATTATAAGTGAAAACCGTATAAAATAGTATGATACAGACATTCAAATTAAAATATGATATAGCAACTTATTTAATCCGCAGTAAACACTCCATTTCTATCGTCTCATTAGTCATGCTCCATTCCAACTAGAAGTGATAGTGACATCTATGGCTGTACAAGAAATTCAATAGAACCAGTAATCTTATCCAGACCAAATTGATTCGTATGACTTAGTTTGGTTTTATATATAAACGGTCCGGTCCCCGCATGCTAAAAACCGCAACAATGATTCAGTTAATAGATTCATTTAAAAAAATCACAGTCCAAACTAAACCAAATCGATTTTTGAAAGCTATATAGATATATATATATATATATATTAAATACTCATAACCCATGAAAGCTATATATATATTTTGTTCTTAATTATTATCAGTTCAAAGAACTAATAATTTCGTTGACTTTCAAACTTTGGGCCTTCTTGATGCTTCGTTATCATTATTGATTAATTACTTAATTTTTTTGTTAGTTTTGTTAGTTTGTTGAAATGCTCATTAAAATGATGATTATGATAAAATTTCTTGTATTAACAAATTTATTTTGTAAGTAGAAATTTATGGAACATTAACCGATTTGGGATCGAACTGTTTTTTTGGTTTGGTTTGGTTTTGTTTTGGTCCGGTTCTACAAATGTTAACATGATTGATTTGTTTCTTAAAATTTCAAAACTATTAGGACCAGTTTGGTTCCTAGATATCCTTGCAACCAAACCAATCCGGACGATATACACCCCTAGTGGCATCAACTTAGTTCACAAAGCAGCGTCATCAACACAATTCGTAGCATTATTTAAGGAGTTTATCATTTCCAACGTGGCTTGATTATGTTATACCGAGAGGTCAAAAATGCACACCATCAATCACATACAATGAAGACTCACAAGATTTATGTGGTTCGAAAATGCGTTTACAACCACAGAGTAGCTAGATTTCACTATAGTTTGAGAGATTACAAAACAATACAAACAATTGAGAGACTTTGATCTAGAGGAGGTGGACTCTCTCTATCTTAACTCAACTCTCAGCCTCACATCTCTCACTCTTTTAGGAGAGACTATATCTCTCCTTTTACTTGCTTCCTCGCCCATGCCTGCTGCTCCTTGAGTTCCAATGCTCTCTATTTATAAACAAAATTGGAGGATGAAAGTTAGTATAGCCATCGACAAGCCACCAATAACATTGATGGAAGCCACCCTATGTAACCACCTTACTACAAGATAGCTCAGTTGAATTTCTAGCCCAAATCTGCAGCTCACTCTTTTTTCTTCATTTTGTAGCTAAAGTTCATTTTACATATTCAGATTTAACAAACAATAGCTTATTGGGTGAGATCCAAAGAGGTATTTAAGAAGTTTTCAGTGAGTAATTTTATTTTTAATTTGATAGTATTAGAGCTTGTTTGTAGGTGTATATTGTTGTTTTGAGTGTTGGCGATGTGAGACCTAGAAAATCCTCTCACATGAGTTGTTGAGAAGATCCAACAAAGAGATGAGCTTTACTCTGTAGATCTGCAAAGATAAACATGGTTGACGCCATCCAATCGGGGTTGTCGGTTGGGGACACTTTGATGATAAAGGTAGAATCCTTTAGACAAAGAGAATAGAGAAAGAACTTGTAAAGTGTTAGTGTATGAATTGCAAAGATGAGGCCTCTTTACCTTATGTGGAATGCTTTCCTTTTATAGAGATAGGTGTGATATTTGTTTGATAGGCTTCCTTACTTGAGCTGGGCTCATTGTTAGGACTTATTTGGATTATCCCAATAAGTTGGCATTTTTTGGGCCATATTCGAAGGCTTTTGCTGATTTTAAGTGGTGATCAATTTCAGACATTCCAAGGATTGTGAATAATACATCTCGTGCCATTGATTGCTTATATCAAAGGATGTAGACTTGTTAATCATAAAAAAAGTGAAAAACAGAAAAACTTAAAGCATTAAAAAATAGCATTGCTCTATTGTAAGGAATTGCCGAGTGAATTTTGGAAGAAGACTATCAGATTAAAGTAGATTATTAAGTTGATTTCTTGCCCTTGAGCTAGTATGAGTTGTGGTTGTGCCAAATTGGATAAAGCTAGTCCTATATTGTATACAATGTCTATTGGCCCCATTCCTTTTGGATGATATTTGTTATTTGGAAGGAATTCCGATTGGACTTTGGCCAAAATTGTCGAGGAGTAAGCTGATAACAAACTGTTGAAGCGGATTCCTTGCCCCTATTCTTTGCCGGGGCAATATCGAAATGAAGCTGAGATTATAGCTTACTTTTCGTGCTCCTCGGAGGGATTTAGTTTCCTCAGATACGATAGCCCTACAGTTCGGACTCTCGTGGTTCTGAATCTGATTTCACAAGTGTAATGTGAAAATGAATAAACACAAATGAGTCCAAATCCCACAAATCTTTTTGAAAATTGATTTTGAATCAAGAATGCCAAAAATGGACTGCATTGCTAGATTTCAGAGTACCACCAAAATATTTAAGAATTTAGGAAACTCGTAACTCATGCCAAAGGCCACTTGTCCGTCATCACCAAAGTTTCTCGGTTCGGGAACTTAGGTATGAGAGGAGAAGGTCATGAATTGAGCACCCCACTCATCCGATCAAAGATCGACCTTTACTAATCATGATGTGAGTCTTATGTACAATATATGCTCTTGTTCTAATTATTATGCTATCTTTACTATGTGATGCATACAATTATAGACTAATTTCACGAAATTTGGAACGTTTTGATTTCATGTTTGTTTTGAAAAAGTGTTTTGAATATGTACCACTTAAAAAATTAATCTATATAAACATTAATCAAAGTATCCCA